GGGCCCGCCGCGCTGCCCGGGCCCGCGCCCGCCGACTGGGCGCGCGCGCCGCTCGAGCCCGCCGTGCGCGCCGTGCTCGTGGCCTTCGACGAGCACTTCAGCTACGCCAAGCTGTGCCAGGCGCTGCGCTACCTGCAGCGCGGCGGCGACGACTGCCTGCTCGTGGGCACCAACCGCGACCACCGGCTGCCGCTCGAGGGCGGCGCCGCCATCCCCGGTGCGGCTCCTCGGGCCCCGAACCCGGCCCTGCCTCTGCAAGCCGGCCCCGGCCTCCCCTGCGCTCGGGCGGCTGCTCTCTGTCGGTGTCTGTGCGCTTGGGTTGGGTCTGTGCCCGTCCGGGGGTTGCTGCACGCTTGGGTCCGGTCTGCCCTTCTTTGCAGGCCGCTGTGTGCTGGGATCAGCTTTGTGCTCTTCCCTGTGTGCCGCTGTGTGCTTAGGTTCGATCTATGCGCTTCTCCATGTGCTCCTGTACGCTTGAGTCATGTTTGTGCCCTTTCTCCTGTGCTGCTGTGTGCTCGGATTAGCTCTGCGCCCTTCCTCGTGTGCTCGGCTCGGGTCTGTGCCCTTCCTTGCGGGCTGCTGTGTGCTTGGATCAGCTCTGTGCCCTTCCCCATGTGCTCCTGTGTGCTTGGGTTGGGTCTTTTCCCTTTCTTGCACACTCATGCATGCATGCTTGAGTCACATTTATGCCCTTCCTTGTGCGCCGCGGCGTGCTTGAGTCAGATTTATATCCTTCCTTGTGTGCTCCTGCCTGCTTGGGTCAGGTTTACAGCCTTCCTCGCATGCCCCTGCACACCTGAATCGGGTTTATGCCCTTCCTCGCGTGCTCCTGCATGCTTGGATCGGGTTTATGCCCTTTCCCGCATGCCCCTGTGTGCTTGGGTTGGGTTTACGCCCTTCCCCGCGTGCCGCTAGCAGCGTCCTTCCCCTGCCTGCGTCCCCAGCACCCAGGAACGCGTCCCCGCGGCCGCGCTGCCCGCGGCTGCCGCAGCCGGCTGAGCCTCCCCTCGCTCCCCGCAGGCACCGGCTGCCTGGTGAAGGCCGTGGAGACGGCGGCGGAGCGCGAGGCCTTCATCGTGGGCAAGCCCAACCGCTACATGTTCGACTGCGTGGTGAGCGAGTTCAACATCGACCCCGCGCGCACCATCATGGTGGGCGACCGGCTGGACACCGACATCCTCATGGGCAACAGCTGCGGCCTCACCACACTGCTCACCCTCACGGGGGTCACCACGCTGGAGGACGTGAAGGGCCACCTGGAGAGCGGCTGTCCCGACAGGCAGCGCCTCGTTCCCGATTACTACGTTGATAGCATAGCCGACCTGCTGCCCGCGCTGCAGGATTAAAATAGCAGCGGCGCCCCGAGGGGCTCTCATTAATCACCCAGTGACCGCAGGGTGAGCAGGGCACCTCCGAGGCAGTTGGCAGCCCGTAGCTTTTTAACCCTTTGCTCTCTCTGTCTGATCTTTTTGTTTGTTTGTTTACATCTTGGTCTTCTGCAATGCACTTTGAAACGCTGAGGGCATCACAGTGTCACTCGAGTCCCATGAGGTGGAGGCTTCTGTTTTAACTAATACCCATATCTAAATATGTGTGAGACTAGAGGTTATTGTCGTCTAGACTGAGTGGAGTAGGGCAGAGCGGTCTGAGGGAAGCAGCTCGCGGCGGGTCCCCCCCGGGCAGGCGCCCCCTTATTCAGGGCAGTGCTCGCCCGGGCTGCTCTAACTGGAATTTGGCCTTAGGTTGGTTTTTCAGACTGGGTCCCGCTCCAGCAGAGCAGCCCGCTGCAAGTGTGACCCACGTCAAAGGAACTGAAATCTCTCCCCTTTATTTGACCGTTAAGAGCTGCTCTTGTGATGCAGATTAGGATGACTCCACGTGCAAAATGTGAATGGTTTCTGCTCTATACGGTATTTGTCCAAGTGTTGGATGCATATGCAAAGTACAGGTACCTGCAAGAACTGTCCTGATCCTAAATATGTATCAGAATATATTTAAATATAAGCTTAAGTATAATATATGATAATATATCTTGCTTCCCAGAAGGGAGGATAAGAGGAATGTACTTCACTGATCACTCTAGGTGTAATTTTTGTAAGCTGTTGCATTTGGTAATGCAGAAAGCACGTAACCACATAGGACTACCCTGCACTAATCCTGCTTCCCAGAAATAACTGGACTAATAAGACTTGAAGTTAGCTCTGCACTACCTTATGCTTCCCTGGTGCCCCAGCATGCAGGTGGCAGCTGCCCTGGGCTTTTCTTGTAGAGCACGGGTAGGGCTCGTCGTGCGTCCCGCGGGCCCCGCAGCCTCCTTGCCCGGTGCAGGCGCCCGGCTGCGGTCGCGGTAGGAAGGAAGGAAGGGGCGGCTGCTCGGCCGAGGATTGTGTTCTCGGCCGCAGGCGGGTTTGGAGCGATGCACAGCCCGGCCTGTGGGGTGGGCTTCTGTCTGCTGCCTGAATCGAAGGCCACAGTCTGGTGTTTTTGTATCACAGAAATAAGTAGAAACATTAATTATGCAAATACTGTGTTGTTACTCCAAAGGTGCCGCTAGTGGCATTTAAACACTGAACTTCCTTCCCTCCTGGTGTTCAGCTGAGTAGCTCTAGTCGTGCGTTCGGTGCCGTTTCCTTCCACTCGAGCACCAGGAGCAGTAAACTCGCCACCTTGTTAGTACAGCAATAACTGTGCAGCTCGTGATGTCTTTCAGTGTTACTGGAACACCCTCCGGATCTTTAAAAGACTGTTCATTTGTGCAAGGGGCACAAATAAAACCTTTCCTGTTGTGTCTGCACCTAGAAGACTTACAAAAGTCACAGAGAAATGCTCATCGGGTAGCAATTTTACTTCACCTAGGTACATAGAAGTAGGCGTAGTGGCCTCCCGCCGTCAGGGCTGGCCTCGCAGCGATCCCTGACGCGCTTCCTAGTGCCGGTGCTCACAGCTCCGGACGGTGTCAGTGCAGCCGGGGCGGCGCGGGGCTGCGGCCTGTGCCTGTGCGTGCTGTGCCCGCCCCGCGCGGGTGACGGTGCCGCTCGCGCTGCACAACCTCTGTATCGGCTCCCCGGGGGCTTCGGACCCTCTCCTTGATTCCCATTAAACTTTCCAAGCTGCGTGTCCCTTGCATTTTGCTTGTTCTGGGGTCCCTGCCCGCGCTGGGTGCCAGCGTGCGTGTGGCAGCAGGAGGAGTTGGGGTGCAGCTCCTGTCTGTATCCTCTTTACTCCCAACACACAGTTTTACACAAGTGGAAGGCCTTTGGTTGCATTTCAGGTGTCCAGGGCCGTGCTGGGCCCTTGGTGCAGAGCTGCTGTGTTGGGGACTGCTCCGTTTGCAGGGCTCGGCTGCGGTGCGGGGAGCGGGGGGCTGCAGCTGGGGGCTGGGGGCTGCTCCGCAGCGTCTCCAGCTCCGCAGAAGCGGCTCTGCCCGTCGGGCTCTTTGACACTCGGGCGCTGCGGTCTCGCCTTCTTGCTGATTCTGAACAGAACCACATTAACTCTGTGCCCAGAGCAGTCGCTTATCTGTTTGCCAGCAGAAGTCTCGGACTCCGAACGTGGTGAAGCCACCGGGCTGAGTTCAGTTCTGCAGGAGCAGCGCTGCAGCAGGGCTCTGGTTTAGCCCCTAGAGAGGGAGTTGGTGACTCAGGGGTGCCAGGGCCAAGCGGGGAGAGAAGGGGGTGCTGGTGCTTCAGCAATGGGGCGCTCCGGGTGGGCTGCACCGCGGGGCATTGGGAGCAGCCCTGGGCTGTGTTGGGAATGTGCCCAAAGGCTCCACAGGGCTGCCGGGCTCCGGGGCTCCTTCCAAGCTGTGCTCCCTTCAAGCATTCCTGCGTGCTGGAAGCGTGCACTGCTGGAAAAGCGCTCGTTCCAGCGAGGGCTTCGTGTCCCAGAACTGCTTCCCGGGGTCCGGGTGCCGCGAGCCCCGGAGGCGACAGCGAGCGCGGCGCTGCAATGGTGAGCATGGTGCTGCAGCCGCGATGCAACGTGCTGCAGCTGCAATGCACCGTGTGCTGCAGCTGCAATGCACCGTGTGCTGCAGCTGCAATGCAACATGTGCTGCAGCTGCAATGCACCGTGTGCTGCAGCTGCAATGCACCGTGTGCTGCAGCTGCAATGCACCATGTGCTGCAGCTGCAATGCACCGTGTGCTGCAGCTGCAATGCACCGTGTGCTGCAGCTGCAATGCAACGCTTGCTCCCGTCAGCCCCCATGGCTCCTGCGGCACCAGGTCTCGTTGAAACAACCGCTGGCAAGGGCAGCTGCCGCTTCTCCCCTCTTCATTTTATCTCATAGGGAGACTGATCCAGCGCCGCCGCCAGCGCGTGCCAGCGGGAGGGCGGCACAAAGGCGCCCTTGTCCCGGCCCGGATCGCCGTGCCCGGCCGGGGGACGCAGGAAGGGAGCGTGGGCGCCGCTGACAGCCGCTCTCGGCAGCAGGGCTCGGCCCTCCCTGCCACTCTCGCAGGTGGCAGCTCTAGGGTTTCAGGGCCGGGCGCGGAGCCCCTGCCCGCCCGCCCGCTCTATTTAGGTTTCCCAGCGCGCGCTGGCGCGTCCCGAGCGCAGCTGGAGCTGGGGATCATGCGCGGGCCGCGCGCAGGACGGAGGCAGAGCCGGGGCCCCGTGTGAGGCGGACGATGGAGGCGGCCAACGGCAACGGCGCCGTCTCTCCCGTGAGTGCCCCGGCCCCGCGGAGCCCGCGCGGCGCTCGGCCGGTCCACAGCCCTCGGCCGGGGCTCCCGCTCCGAGCTCGTCCTCCCGCTCCGAGCTCTTCCCTCGCCTTGGCAGGGTCCGGTACCGACCTCGGCCAGCCCCGATCCGGCTCCTCCGCAGGCGGCTGAGCCCACGCCGGGGGTCCACGTAAGCAGCCGGCACCCCCGAGCCCCCGGCACGCGCCGCGTTTCTCTCTGTGCTTCCTCCTCAGGGCTGGTGTCCCACCTGAAGGAATCTAGCCCGCAACCAGCTGCCAAGCAGCAGAACGCTCCCTTCCTTGGCATTTCAATTGATAAGATGTCGGCTGGGCAGTTTTAACTTTTTGATACTGATTCTTTGGTGGAATAGAATATAGAAATATAGAATTTAGGATATCGAATAGAATATAGAGAAGTCCTGTAAGCGCCCAGGGGGCTGCAGAGCCCATGCCGTGTTTGGCTGCAGCAAATCCAACCACTTGCAATTATTAGACATCGCTCTGCACTTCAGAGGAGTGTGAAACAGGCTGCTTCACTCCGAGCGTGGGCTGCACTGTTATCATGATGGGAAGTGCCGCCTTTGCCTTGTTAGCATGACTTTAGGTGCCAATAAGCCTCCTTCCACTGTTTCGGTACAGAATTAGAGTGTTTCTCACATCGAGCCGCCAGCAGCACCAACACGATGGCAAGCTTTTTTAAAACGGCTTCAAATAATTGCTTGCTTAGCATCAAGCACCAATTTTATCTAGAAAATAACAGTAAATACGGGGAAGGACAAGCCTGGAGGTGGGATTGCCCCCGCAGGATAGCTCCAAGTCCTGATGGCTCTTGGGGGAATCTCTGCTGTGAAACAAATAACCGGGTTTGAGGACGGCAGCCTCGGGCGAGGAGGAGCTCCCTGCTGACCCCCGCGCGGAGGCTCCGCGCTCGCCGAGCGCTCGGGAAGCGGCGCCGATCCCGCGGGACCGCTCCCGCCTCGCCGCAGGGCTCTGCCTCCGCTCCCAGTGTTGCACCGCCCTGCGCCCGGTTCCCGGGGGCCCCAGCCGGGCCCTGGAGCGCGTTTTGGGGCGCACAAGGACGGGGAGCCGCAGAAGCGCCCATTTTAACTGCTGTTCTCTCCTTGTTCTGCCTTCGCTCCCAGGACAGGCGATTCCCGGCACCATTCCAAACCCTGTCCGGGACATTCTGGATCATCTTGTGCATTGCCTTGTTTTTTGCAGTGGTTGGCATCAGCGTCGCGGGGATGCTCAGCTTCTCGCAGGGCTCTGCCCAGGTAAGGGGCCGGCGGTGGCTCCCGCGGGCAGCCCCGGTGCCGGGCACGGGCACATCCAGGAATGCCCAGGCCCGCCCCGCCGCCACAAGGCCAGGCTCAGCTCAGAGCAGCCCCGCGCGCCGGCCGCAGCCGCAGATGAGCTGCCCTTTGCCAGGGGTGAGCTGTGCAGCGAGCGCCGTGCCGCAGCTGCACGCAGAGCCGAACCGAGCCTTGCAGGGCGCCCGGCCCGAGGCGCCGCGATGCCGGACGGTCTCCCCGCTCTGCCGGGCATGTTCTGGGTCCGGCCGGGCCGGTCCCGCTCCGGCGGCTCCGGCAGGGCCCGGGGGAGGCTGGCGGGGCGCGCGGCGCTCAGCGGCGCTCGCAGGCCGTGCGCGTGGCCTTGCAGGGCCCGCCGGGCGCCCCTGGGAACCAGTCGGCCGTGGTGGACCGGGCCAGGAGCACCGTGACCTACTACGTGCCGGCGCAGAGCAACGGCAGCGCCGTGGTGCTCTACGACGGCGAGAACGTGAGCGCGGCGGCGCGGGCGGGAGCCGGGTCCCGGTGCGCGGCGCGTCCGCGCGGCTCACGGCGCCGTTCTGCCCGCAGCGCCACGTGTGCTACAAGCCGGCGGGGCAGCGCGTGTGCTACCTGCGCGCCATGGACTCCCGGGACCTGCAGCAGCTCCGCGCGGCCCTCGACGCCCCCGAGCAAGCGGTGAGCGGCGGCAAGGGCACCGGCGGGGTTTGCTCTCGCTCGTGTTGCTGCTGTATTTGCGGCCAGGACGACTCCTGGTTTTGCTGACACCAGATTTGGTGCAAAAAGCAGCACAAATGGTGGCTGGGGGCGGGAGCGGCGCCCACGGCCTGGGAACCAGCGGCCCTTCCTGCACCCGTATCCTGTTACCGCGCGATCCCGGGGAAGGGCAACAAAGGGGGTTTGTTGGCCGCTGCCGGGGCAGGAACGCGGAGCGGGGCCCAAGGAAACCGCGGGCTGGGGAGCGGCTCCTGTTCCAAGGAGATCTCCTGGGATCCTGTTCCAGTCCCAAAGCTCCAAGCGCGTTGCAGGCACGCAGCCCCTCGGGCAGGAGCGGGGCCGAGGGGCAGCGCGAGGCGCCCGGCAGGAACCAGGGCGCCGTTCCCGCAGGCCTCCGTGCCCCTCAACGGCACCAAGCGCTCCCGGGAGTTCCTGGCCGTGCTGGCGGGCACCGAGGTGGATCCCGCGGGGCTGGGGGCGCCCGTGCGGGCCCTGTGTGCCCACAGCTCCATCTTCCGCGCCCGGCGCACCCAGGGTAAGTGGAGCAGCCTCCGCGCCGCCGTCTCGGAGCAGTGGCATCTGCAGCACAAAAACCATCCCAAGCCCAGGTGTGTGGTACAGTGGGGACGGGTGAGCGCTAGCGCAAAGCCAGCCCCGTGTTCAGTGCTGGCTCAGCCCCGGGGTTGGTATTTGCCATCCTCGTCCTGGCCAAGAGCAGCCCGCTGTGCTCCGGGTTTGTCTGCAGCCTGCAGACCACTCGTCCTGCTGCAGCTCCAGCAAGGAGCAGTCGCTCCCGGGGCTGTCGGGGTGTTCGGCTCCCTAGGGAGGTACCTGCAGGGCTCCCTCTGAGCACGTTTCTGTCCTGGCCCCTCGGCAGGTCCGGGCAGGCAGCGGCTCATCTACCTTTGCATCGACATCTGCTTCCCGAGCAACATCTGTGTCTCCATCTGCTTCTATTACCTCCCCGAGTAGTCCCGCACCGCGGGCGCCCCACGTACTCCGACCGTGCTCCCCAAAAGCCCCGTTCCAGCGAGGAAGGTAACGTCTGCGCCATCCCACGGCACTTCCCGCTCGCTCCGTCCGGACTAGGAAAGCCGCAGGGCCCTGCTCAGCTTGGCGGGGACGCGCTTTATTGGCGGCAGCGCGCCAGGGCTGCCTGGCGCCTAGGTAGCAGTAGCTGTAGGCGTGCGGGGCAGCCGGGGCTCCGGCCACGCGAGCTTAGCGGCCGCCCGGGGCTGCCGACCGAACCCGGAGCCAGTCCCTGACCCGCGCTCTGAATAAAGGGATTGCAAAACAAGAGCCCGGCTGCCCTTGCTCTTTCCCGGTTCGGCCCCTGCGCCGTGCAAGAAAGCTGATGTTTCCCCGTGCGGTACAAGGACAGGGTGAAGCTGTGCCCGGGGATGGGCACTGGCCCCCCAGCCCTTCTCTTTAGTCCACGTGGAGCCCCTCGGAGGTCCGACACGTCCCGGCTGCGAGCTCGGAGCTACGAGCTGAGCTGGGCTGGCTCCAGGCGCAGGCGGCTGCTCCCGCTGGGCTCGAGGTGTCCCCGTCGGCAGGAGGGGGCCGGTCGGCGCGGGGAGGGGATGCGAGCAGGCGCTCGTCCCTCCCGCGGCCGCTAGCCCAGCACGCTGTCGTTGAACGCCAGGCAGACAACCGCCTTCTGGTGGCCGCTGTATTCCCGCTTGATCTCCCCCGTCTCCACGCACCAAAGCCTGGCCAGGTTATCCGAGGAAGCTGGAGCACACAGAGAGAGGAGCACCAGAACAAATGGATCCGTTATGACATCTCAAACCTTCCCACATGCAAGCAAGGCTGTCGTCTTGCTTCACTCCACACCGTTATTACAGCTGCTGATGAAAGGCAAGGAGCCCTGTGCAGCAGGGAGCTGCGTGCTGGAGAAAGCTCGCTGTGGGGGTATCTATCACCGTGCAAACAGCATTGCTACCCTGTGACATAAACAGTGCACGGGAGATCAGCTCGCTGATTTAACCAGGAGACAAGAGATGCCCTGTCAGGACATGAGCAAGATGTTCAAGGGAGCGCGAGGCACGGGGGAGGCTGGGCACGGTAACGGAGTGGGATTCTCCCCTGGGCGGAGTGGGATTCTCCCCTGGGCGGCAGCGGGTCCCAGCAGCAATCGCATTAACCCCGCGCTAACCCAGAGCCCCGGTCCCTACCCGTGACGATGTACTGCGAGTCCCCGGAAAAGGCGCAGTCCCACATCCAGCCCCGGGACGTCTCCCCGGGGTTGTTGCTCTTGATGCTCAGCTCTGTCATCAGGGAGAAGTTTGAGGTCCTCCAGATCTTGCAGGTCTGATCGGCAGAGCATGTAGCCAAGAGCCTGCAAGGAGCAGACACGCACGAGCAACCTTGTTAATGATTCTCATGCCTGAAAGGCTCTCATTAACACAGGCCTGGAGCGGTAACGAACTGTAGACCCGTGCTCTTCCTAACGGGGTTTCTCTACCCCGTTACCATCTGCCTTATGCAATTGCAGTCAGGCAGGCTTGGTGCAGGAGCACAGCGGGTTCGTCCCTGCGCGCTCGGGGACCAGCGGATCGATAACCGCTCTGATAGCAACCCTGGGCTGCGAAACCTGCCGAGGGTGCAGGGACCTCCCCGGCGGCCGGCGCCACTCACGTGGAGTCGGGGCTGAACTTGCACTGCAGCGCGTAGCGGTTGTGCGCCGGGATCTTGGTCTTGGGGATGAGCTGGGTCACCTCCTCGCCGATGCCGCCCGTCAGGTTCCACACGTAGCAGTTGCCCTGTGAGGACAGCGCAGCGCTCGCGGGGCCGGCGCGCGGGGACGCGGGGACGCGGCCGCCCCGGCCCCCGCGCTCACCGAGCTGTTGACGGCCGCCATGTAGCTGGCATCGGGGTCGATGTGAACCGCGTTCACGGAGACCTCGGGCTCCGGGATCAGCTGCTCGTTGTGGTCGGTCTTGAGGTCCCAGATGTGAATGGCGCCGCTCTGGTCGCCCACGATGAGCTCGGCCTGCAGGGAACACGCAGCCTCGTCCCTGCGGCTCCGGGCGCACGGGCGCCGCTCCGGCTGCCTCCGAGCGCAGGGCGGGCAGCAGCCCCGCGCGCTGCAAAGAGCCCGCGCGCATTTACAGAAGCACCCGCTGATTTTGGCAACCCCAGCAGTGACAGCGGCCACCGCAGCTCAGCCCCATGCTCAGTTACGGCTCCAAACTTTGTCTGCAGCTGCCAAGCAGTTTTCAACACCCTGGAGAAGCAGCACTGAGAGGCAAGGCAGCCTGCGCACGGCTGGAGTGCTTGGAGCGTGCAGCCGGCCGGGAAGCGCAGCCCGGCTGTGCACCCCGGCGCTGCAGCCCACCCTGGGGGCAGGCCCAGGGCAGCAGCGCCGGCTGCAGCCCCGTCCCGCTGCAAGGGACAGCGCTGCAGGGTGGGCAGGCCACAAATAATGTGACTGCATGGCGCAGAGGTGCACGCTGCTCTGCAGCATGCACAAGCAGAGCTGCTGAACCTGTCCTGGTGGCCCCCAGCCTCGCGCTCTGCACAGACACGGCCTCCTCTGCGCTAGTCAATGCTGCTCTGCGCCCAGTGAGCGCCGCTCATGGTGCCACACGCGCCGCGAGCGAGGACGGCGCACGCCATGCCCGCGCACGGCACCAAAGCTCTGCCTTGACCTCACGGCAGCGGCTGGATGGGAGCCACGGGAAATAGGGGACACAGGATGAGCGTGGGGGAGGCGACCCCAGTGCAGGGGAGCATGGGGCTCCGCAGCGGGAGGCGGGAGAAGCCGGGCACAGGTCGGCAGAGCCGGACAAGGCGGCAGCGCCGGACAAGGTGGCACTGCTGGACATGCGAGCAGGGCCAGACAAGGTGGCGGTGCTGGAAAAGGCAGCAGGGCTGGACAAGGCGGCAGTGCTGGACAAGGCGGCACTGCTGGACAAGGCGGCAGTGCTGGACAAGGCGGCAGTGCTGGACAAGGCGGTACTGCTGGACAAGGTGGCAGTGCTGGACAAGGCGGCAGTGCTGGACAAGGCGGCACTGCTGGACAAGGCAGCAGTGCTGGACAAGGCGGCACTGCTGGACAAGGCGGTACTGCTGGACAAGGTGGCAGTGCTGGACAAGGCGGCACTGCTGGACAAGGCGGCAGTGCTGGACAAGGCGGCAGTGCTGGACAAGGCGGCAGTGCTGGACAAGGCGCCGGGCTCCGCAGCAGCCCCGGCGGCGCGCACGCTCACCTGGTTGGGGTGCAGACAGACGCAGTTGATGGGAGCGTTCACCTGGAAGATGCGCTGGCACTGCAGGTTACGGGACCTGCACAGGGAAGGAACCAGCGGGTCAGGGCACACAAGCAACGGCCTCCAGGAGCCTTGGAGACGTGACAGGGACCCTGACCAGCCCCGATGTTCCCACCCCTCGCAGAAGTGCCTGGAAGGAGCCACCACGAGCGATGGGGCTGGCACATCACCGCGGCCCTGGCAAAGGGAGCCACGTGCTCCTGGGAAGGGAGGCTCCCGCGGGACGCGGTGGCACCTGAGGTCCCAGATGCGGGCCATGCAGTCCTCGCCGCCCGTGTACATCCAGCGGCCGTCCTCGTGGAAGCCCACCGAGGTGATGTTCTTGCTCACGCCGTCGTAGTTGATGACGGGGTTGGGGTTGTTGGAGTTGAGGTCGTACATGCGGATGTGCTGGTAGCCTGCGGCGGGCGGCGCGGCGTGAGCGGCCGCGGGGCCGCGGGGACCAACGCGGCGCCCGGCCCGCGCGCTCACCCGCCGCCGCGATCATGCTGCGGTCCGGCGTGATCTCCAGCGCGTTCACCTGCTGCCGTGCCATTAAGGAAGGCAACAGGCGGCTTTCCTGGGAAAAGCAGTGGGGTTTCCGGGGAAAACAGGCGCTCGGACACGCCACGGGGCTGCGAACCGTGCGGAAAGGATACGGAGTCCTGGTGCTGCACGGTGCGGGTGCAGATGCCGCTGTGCGCCTGCCAGAAGCGCACGGTGTGGTCGTAGCCGGCGGTGGCCAGGATCACGGGGTCGCTGCCCACGGTGCCCTGCGCCGTGTTCATGGTGCTGCGGGGGGGTCAGCGGCGCCCCGGGCGCCCCCACGTGCTCTGCTCTGCCACGAGTGGGAGCAGCGCTAGCGCCCAGGGAGCCTGTCCGTCACATGGGGCTGCACGGTGTGCACACACATCCCACCCGTGCACACACGCGTGGAGCTGTGTAAATCCATGTCCCATGTGTGCACATGTGCAGGGCTGCATGCACACATGTCCCACCTGTGCACGTGCATGGAGCTCTGCAAATTCACGTGTGCAAAGATCTATGCACCCACGTCCCACCCATGCACACACATGCATGGAGTTGTGCAAACCCATGTGTGCAGAGCTGCATGCACCCACATCCCACCCGTGCACACACATGCATGCAGCTGTGCCAACCCATGTGTGCAGAGCTGCATGCACCCACATCACACACGTGTGGAGCTGTGCAAATTCACACGTGCAAAGCTGCATGCACCGCTCTCCCACCCATGCACACGCGTGGAGCTCTGCAAATTCACAACTGCAAAGACATATGCACCCACGTCCCACCCGTGCACACACATGTGGAGCCCTGCAAACCCACGCCCCATGTGTGCACGTGGGCAGAGCTGCAGGCTCGCTGTCCCACTCGAGCACACCCGCGTGGGGCTGCATAAGCCCCCCTGTGCCCGCCGTGCACACGCGTGGAGATGCACAAGCCGCGTGCAGGGAGTCCCGCGCAGCCCCCGCCCCGGCGCCCCACCCCACTCGTGCACCCCCCGCGTGGGCCGCGTCGCGCGTGGCGCCCCCCCCCCGCCCGGTGTCACGGTACCCGCAGCAGCGGCGGCCGGGCCGGGTAGCGCTCGCTCTGCGCACGCGCGGGCAGCTCCCACGCGCATGCGCGACGCACCCGCCCACAGTGGAAGGGCGCCCCTCTGCGGCGTCGTCTTGGCGTAGAGCGCATGCGCAACTGCCCCAGCCTGTGGCGGGCGATACCAAGTGCGAGGCGGGGGGGGGCGAGCGGGG